ATATGAAGTCGTAAAGTCGCAACCTTGAATCCCAAACTTAGGGTTTAGGGTTTAGGGTACAGAGAAGAATCGAAAGACTCTTTCGGTCCAGAATACCGCAGGCACTGATCCCAGCATTGATGGTGATGATGTCAATCGGAACCTGCACCGGAGCGATTGTGGTGATACTGTTGATGGACAAAATTCTGCATGACCCAAATATAGTATAGTACCATAAATCCCATAGTTTAGGTATGTAAGGTCATGCAGGATTTTGTCCATCAGCCGTAGCAGCCTGTGGGGAGGAGGAATGAGCGAGTTGCATGCGCAAATTTGGCACTGCTTGAGGCCCCCTCCGACGCACACCACTTCTGTAGGGGCCTTCATGATTAGAACAGGGTTTTGGGCTCCTGGATACTATAAACATAATAAGGGACCGTATGGAAGAATATGGGTACCCTAAACCCTCAAAGCTTGAAGTCCTAACCTCTGGATTCCTTAAACCTGAAAGCCTAAACCCTCGAAACTTGAAGTCCTAAGCTCTGGATTCCTTAAACCCGGAAGCCCGAACAGCCTGATAGGTCAAAGCCGTGAAGATTTTGCATCTGGGAGGGTCCCTCCCAAGTAGCCCAGGTTTAGGGCTTAAGTTTTAGGCTTAGGGTTTAGGGTTTAGGGTTTAGGGCTTAAGTTTTAGGCCTTTTAGGCTTAGGGTTTAGGGTTTAGGGCACCTCCTGCCGCAGCGTGTCGGCAAGGAGTTGGAGTGCTTGTGGCCAGCGACCGGCCTGCGACGGTCAAGGGGGCTTGGTAGGTATCGGGATGGAAGTACCTAACTTGGGGGTACACACCCCTAAACCCTAAACCCTATAGACCCTAAACTGTTGAGTTTTGATGCGCATTAAAGGTTTATAACGGTGTATGAATTGGAGGGTTATAGGGTTGAAGGGGAGTTCGGCTTCGGGGTTTCGTGTTTCGGGTTTAGGGTTTAGGGTTTAGGGTTTAGGGTTTAGGGCTCTACGGTTTGGGGTATGGGCTTTAATTCATGCACTTACCTACACGTTCTTGAGGAGCAGTATATACACCCAACTAGCCCGTTATGCAAACCCTACTTCAGATAATGGTTCTTCGGAGTGTTGATTTCGGACCATGTCTCGTTTCGAACAACAGAATCGTTCATGGGGTACCCTACGCTCTAACTATAAAACACGGGCCTCAAGCGGATAATGCTACACCCTAAACCCTAAACCCTAAACCCTAAACCCTACTTTTTAACTTTTCCGACCTCCGACCTCGATCTCATGACATCCAGCTTGGGGGTTTTGGGGCTCGGGCCTGGGGCATGCAACGGTTTTCCCGTACGTCATGGGGTTTAGGGTTTAGGGTTTAGGGCTTTGAAGCGGTTTTCCTGACGTCTTACGGGGATGCTCATGAGAAACTGTTTACTGGTAGGACTGGAAGGAGATAGGTACGGTTCTGGAACCCTACATTGGCCTTCGAGTAAAATATTGTAGGGGTCCGGCATGTGAGGTAAGCGGGATTAACAAAATCAACAGGGCAGCAACACACGACACAACTTCTGTGGGCTAGCTGCGCCGCATGCGTGATGTGAACCGAATCCAAATGCCACAACCGTAATTCTTAAGGCCCCTACATTACCCTTCCGTGCCTTCTCGCAAGCACTGATGGCGGAGTTGTAGGAGATCGCGTCAACTTGGGTCTGCCGCAGAAACATCTCCTCCCGCAAGGATCCCCAGTATTTCTATGGTTTAGGGTTTAGGGTTTAGGGTTCAGGGTTTAGGGTTTCGTACGTATAATCCTGAACCCTAAACCCTAAACCTATCATATGGGTCGTACTTACAACAAAAATAGTAAAGTCTAGGCCCTAAATTACATACATAAAAGTACGGAAAGCTTTGAAATTGTTTAGGACTCTTTGGAGTCGGCATGAAGCTCTCCTCGCATTTGTTTGACTACTAATTACAAGGGCGCAAGTTAGAGGATCTTGACTGCTAAGGAAGCCATCTCAGAGCCGGATCACATAACCTCGGGCCATGTTTAAACCCCAACGGTACCAACACCCCTGCATCCTATAGGCTCCAAATCGTACAGTCGAGAACCCTCATACTTACCCTTTTGCCTCACCTCCAAACCCAAAGCCCCAATCGCAAACATTCTACACTCTACCTGTCTCCCCCCAACTACCCTCTCACGAGCCCTGAACTGCATCATCAGACAAAAAGACGACAACAGTATTTAAACACAATGAGCTGAGCAAAATGAGATGAAGTTAGTCCTCCAAAAGGTGAACAGCTCTTTGCCACTGCTCCGATTTCTCACATGCGCTGATGCTGGCGTTGTAGGCCACCACATTGGGCAGAACATCCCTGGATTTCCAAGAATTTCCGGATTCGGGGCTTCGACTTACTTATATGCTTAAGGAGGGTTCCATCGTTTTTGTTTTGGGGTTTAAGGTTTAGGGCTTAGGGTTCAGGGTTTAGGGTTTAGGCTTCGGTTTTAGGGTTATTGTTTCGGGTTTAGGGTTTAGGGTTTAGGGTTTCGACCCCCGACATTCGAACATCCCCAGGAACCAGCCCCAAATCTCGTTTAGTGCTCTGTTACTTAAAATTTCGAACTGCCTCCATCGCATGCATTCATACATTCATACATGCACACGTACATACATACATACATACACACGGACAGACAGACCGACAGACAGACAGACAGACAGACAGACCTACAGACATACCGACGGACATACATACGCACATGAGCGCTCACATACATACCGACATGCTGCACACGTACATACATATAGACAGACATACATGCATGCATACATACATACATACATTCCCGCACATATATCCAGACATGTATATGTGATGTGCGTGTATATACGTATGTATATATATATATATATATATATGATTAAACTATACAAGAGCCCACACAGACACTCAAAGTCACTTACGCATCCTGTGTCCCATGATCAGGTGAAGGCTTCACCGAGGCCAAAGCCTTGGGCTTGAAATTCTCCACGCTCTATGCACTGAACAAGGACGGGGTTAACATAGGGCCTAAATAATTAGAATATGGTTTTGGGGGTTCCTTATTATATTTATACCAAAAAGGGGCCCAAAACCCTATTCTAATTACTAAGGCCCCTAAATTAGGGGTTTAGGGCTTAGCGTTTAGGATACTGAGGGTTTAAAGCTCTGCTCAGGCCTTTCGAGGTGTTTGACTGTCAATGTGGCCTTTATATAAGTTGAATTTTATTAGGCTGTATTTTTAAGCTTTTTTTCTTGTTTTTGAACTAGGACCTGTTGTTGGGGTGTTATAAAGTTGGTTTGTTGTGACTCGGGCTCTTTGCGGTGGCTGCATCCATCTTGTGGAACTTCAGATTATTGGGAGGGGTCCAAAGCCCAACCCCAAACCGAAGTTTTGAACCCTCAGCCCTGAACCCCACAGATGCCTGATTGTAAGTATACTTGAACCCTAACCCTAACACCCTAAACCCTAAATCCTATACGAGTACCAACCGCAAAACCCAGGTGTCTCTACTGGAATATATAATGCTATAAAATACTCCAAAACCCCGTTCTAATTACTCAGGCCCCTAGATTGCGTCCCTGAACTCCCCGTGCCCTACACTCCGAACTCTAACCCCTGTAACCTTAATATAGAAGCGGGAGTTCGCGGTTTAGGGTTTAGGGGTTTGGGGGTTTAGGGTTTAAGGTTTAGGGGTTTGGGGTCTAGAGTTTTAAACTATAAAGACTATTCCTTGGGGCTCCTTGACCAAATTCAAACATAGAGATCCCCAAAGGCCCTCTTCGAATTGCTCAGGCCCCTGTATGAAGCCTGTGCAGGCGTGCAGCAGTTCAAGCATTCACGCGGGTCGAACGGCGGAAGGTTTCAGGGATTATGGAGTTTCTGTCCGGTCAGGGACGATAATCAGATGGTTGTTCTGGAGTTCGAGGTTTAGGGCCTGAACTTCGCCATAGACCCTAAACCCTAAACCCTAAACCCAAAAAACCCTGAACCCTAAACCCTAACCCCTAAACCCTGAACCCTTCGTCCAACGCAAAGGCTTGTAGAGAAGGGAGAGTCGTGCCCATAGAGTCCTTCTTTCATCATGAACTCGGAAACCCTCTTCTAATTCTCAAAAGCAACTAATATAGGGGCCTTAATATTTTTAATAGGGTGTTAGGGCCCATCCTACTATAATTGTAAGAAGGACCCCCCCCCCAAAAAAAAAAAGAGAAAAATAGCATTGGTAATTCTAAAGGCCCCTACATTATCCTATCTCCCGCAAGACTCGGCTTGAGTCCCCAGCGCACGATGCGCAGGACTTGCTCTCGCAGTCCAAGAAGTACGCGAGGGGCTCGGGCATTCAGTGGGTCTCAGAGCCCGAAGTGTTCAACATATGTAGACAGGGACTTTGGTTTAGGGTTTAGGGTTTAGGGTTTAGGGTTAGAAGGAATACTGCCACCAAGTAGTCAGACCGCTCAAAGTATGGTGCACAGAGGCGCTAGAGTTCAGCCAGCATTGTGAAATCCTAGAATGATTGGAATGAAGAGCAACATCGCCATGGGATCCGCCATCGGATTAAGCAGAACACTAGTCGCAGTAGTGCTACTCGCAGTCGTACGTCGCTGTCGTGCTATCGTAGCAAGGGTGCTAACCATGATACTACATCAGGTATGAGAGTTTCAGAGAATAGGGGATCCTAACATAGCCTGTGAGGGTCATAGAAGATCAGAACGCCGAAATACGGCTCCGAATTCTGAGAACCCCCTCCCCTTCCCCCCATGGTGGGGGTTTCCGAAAATAGGGGACCCTAATATAGTACCCTAAATAGTAGGATCCTTATTATAAGGACCCCCAAATAAGGTACCCCAATTTTCGGAAACTCCCATGTGAAAGAATGCTTATGTTCTGCCGCCGCCAGTTCGTTTGGGCTTTGTCGGGCTCCTTCACGGACTTTAGTGCTTCCGGTGCCCCGCGCCCCATCTTCGCCCGCCATGTGGCGCTTGGCCACAATCTTCTCACAGATGAGGGCTTCATTCGAAGCTGCCCCATGCGCCGGCGAGGACTTGGTTAGCCAGCTGAGAGCTTGAGCCTTGGGCGAAGGAACAGTCGTAGTAGTGATAACAGGGCAACTTTAGGCATTGCACCAGTATCGACCAGTATCAGTATTGCCTGACTTGAGCTCTGATAACAGTGATTTGAAGAATAAGTTGCGACGATGAGTCTTCAACCTCTACTGCATGACGTGCATACCTTATGTACCCACCTCATGAACCATGCTTTCAACCCGGAGTGGCTTAGCTTCACATCCGCAGGCCGTCTCGCCGGGAGGATCTGAGATACACTATTAGACTACTGCGGCTGCTGCTACTGCCGCCGATTTCTGCTGTTGATATTGCTGCGCTTACCCAATTCCGGCCTGCTAGTGATGCTACTATGGGGGACGGCGATTACGATCATGACGACGATTACCAGCTTGCGATCTTGGTGATGATGAAGAAGTGGAGAAGCACATTGAGCAGCATGAGCCGGTGGACGGTAATGCTAATACGGATGATGATGATGATGGTGATGATGCTGATGCTGCTGATGATGATGATGTTGATGAGGATGATGACGTTGATGATGAAGTAAAACACTAGTCAGTTACAAACCTTGAGGGACCTTGTCCCCCAACCCTGACCCTCAAACCCCCATAGACTCCACACATGGATAGTTCCCTTTTTGGGTCCCCAATATAGTACGGCACCCTTATAAAAAGATACCCTCAACGGGACCCGAATTTAGAGAACTACCTCTAAACCCTAAACCCTAAACCCTAAACCCTAAACCCTAAACCGCCACATGGAGGCAGGGAGGAGCTGAAGAAGTTCATCAACGAGCAGAACTGTGCGCCGATCCTTATCCGCCTCGCGTGGCACGACTCCGGAACCTTTGAGCCTCAGCACCCAGTGGGAGGGCTTAGGGGGTTTAGGGCT